GCCTGAGCCCAGGGGTTCGAGACCAGCCTGGGCAACTTGGTGAGAGCTTCTCTCTAAAATAAAATTTTTACTTACTTATTTATTTATTGTAGAGACGAGGTCGCGCCAAGTTGCCCGGGTGGGTCTTGAACCCGCGGGCTCAGGCAATCCACTCGCCTCAGCCTCCCAAAGTGCTGGGATTACAGGCTGAGCCACTGAGCCTGGCCTCTAAAATAAATTTTAAAAATTAACTGGTTGAACAGTAGAGCCTATAACCTAAGTTCAGGATTGAGGAGATGGCTGGGCACTGTAGTTGATCATGGCTGATATCCATTGTGAAGTGTAACTCGAGGAGAAGGGAGGGAATGAATACTATCTCTTCTGTTAAAAAAATATATATATATTCTATATAAGCTTTTTTGTGAGGTGAAGGTGAAATATAGGTTTATTTTTGCATTCATTTTTAGTATACAATGAATATACGTTTAGCATAAAAAGAGAATGCAAGTGCTCGTAATCAAAGTTAACCTGTTAACATCTTGATGCCTTTTCTTCCAGACACTTTTCTCTGCTTGTGTTTATACATGTACGTGTCTATTATAAAATGGGGTCATGCTGTCTTATCTTTTGCTTTTTTCACTCAAAAGTGTCTTATGAGCATCTTTCCATCTCAGCAAATATACTCTGATCATATGATATGTATCAGAAAAGTAGTGTCCAGTTACCAAGGCAAAATACCTCTTGGATTCTCAGGCTCCTGTGTGGGCAGGGTTGGGCAGGTGAAGTCGGAGATCCAGATGACTCATCCACTGTGTGGCAGGAGATAGAGCCAAGAGTGCTGCTGGCGATTAAGGTAGCACCAGCTTCTAGAGCTGTTTTGTAATTCTGTTTTCCAGCAGGACAACTTTTTATGCTTCTTCTATCTCTGATCTTCTGTATCTTCCCCCAGTGGATTATTTTGTAAGCTTAGGTCTGAACACTAGAACCAGGCAGTTGTTGTTCTGTAACTTTTTTCAAGCCTTGTTGCTGCTTGATGAAGTGGCTCTCAGAGTGTATGCAGAAGAGTAATAGGGTGAGAGACTTAATTCCCAATATAGCTGCTAATCCTGTTTAATTCCCCGAAGTCTTTCAGTCCCAGGTTGTTTGTCCTTTCTTTCTTGGTTGGAAGACCGGTGAGGCACAGACTGCAGGAATGGAGCATAAGAAGGTATTGGCGTTTGCAATTTATTGGGAAGGTGGTGCTGTTCAATTGATTTAGGAGTACAATACTTTCAAAGCATGGGACATTTAGTTTTATTTCAACAAGCATGTTTCTTCTATTGTGGAACAATGGTGACAATTTCCAGGTGGTTTTCAGCCTGACTTATGTGTATAAATTAATTCCATTTTTGACCCAGGTGAAAGTGAACTCTTAGATGTGTAAATATGTGTCCTTGATCATCAGAGTGAGTGGTGGTTGTGTTTTCATTTGAAGTCTGCATATTTTTCAACCAAAGGATCTATAAGTGAATTTTCTGATAACTGAGAATTTACATTTAGATAAATACGTAGAGAAGAGCAGGAAAAAGAGGATTAAATCCTTATGTAAAAATAAAATTTGACTGTTCATATGCATGTATTCATTTGCATGTAAATTATGTCAGATATAAGAATATTTATGCAAATACCCGGAAAATTCTGATGACTTCTTTAGTTTTTTACACATAGTTTCCATCCTTGATGCTACTATCTGTAATTACTGCTATAGGGTAGTTTCAGTTATATTACATCTTTGTCTTATTGGAAAGAAAAATAGCCCAGCAGAATTCTCCACGTTATTTTGTGGCAGGTAATGGGGAACTTCTGTGAATGCACAGTTTCAATGTTTTAAGCGTCTGTATTTTGCTTTTTCTTTCTTGTTTTCCTCATTGATCTTTAGATAAAAATCTCTTGTCTCCCATGTAACTCATCACTAGAGCGAGGCTGGCCTTTCTTCTCATTTTGTCCTTATAAGGCTATCCTGTTTTATCACTTCCTGCTTCAGCTCCTGACTTTTTCTCTCTTCCCCTCTCCTGGGTGGATGCTTTCTCCATGTGGCAGGGCTGTAACTGTTCACAGCTGTCTGAAACAGCAGTGGACCAGGAGCAGCTTGGAGTTCTAACTTTCATTTTACAAAGAACAACATGTTTGAATGTTTCAGCAGGCAAGTCATAACTGGCACTTACTTCTTGTTCTTCTAGAACACTGAAAATCTCCCCCAGCACTTCAGGAGGGGGACCCTGACCGTGTTAAAGAAGAAGTGGGAGAACCCAGGGCTGGAAGCAGAGTCTCACACAGACTCCCAGCGAAACAGCAGCACTGAGATTAGGCACAGAGTGGGCCATCCTTCTGCTGAAGTGACAAGCAACACTGCTGTGGGAGCCGAAGCTGACCAAGAGGAACGAATTCACCCCAGACCTACGTTGGGCTCAGCTCCTGAAGCTCTCATTCAGTCTCGGTATCCCCACATCAAGGACAGTGAGGATCTTAAAGACCACTCAACAGAAAGTAGGAAGATGGAAAATTGTCTAGGAGAATCCAGGCATGATGTAGAGAAATCTGAAATCAGTGAAAATACAGAAGCTTCAGGCAAAATAGAGAAATATAATGTTCCACTGAACAGGCTTAAGATGATGTTTGAGAAGGGTGAACCAACTCAAACCAAGGTAAGAACTGGGCGGGTTTGAAACTTGAGAAAGCCAATTCAGGTGCTAAACAAAGCTGTTTTTCTAATATGGACATTTTGAGTAGAGGCGAACATGTGTGATCAGTATGTCTTTTGATTTAAGTTAGATAAGTTAATAAGTCTCAAATGAATTATTTACATTGATGACTAAGATTTGTGAGTCTCCGACCCAATTTCATGTTAAATCAAACTCAGGTTGGGATTCAAGTTGATATCTAGACATGAAGAGAGTTTGATACTGACTGGATGATGGTTTTTGTACACTTGCCCTTTTAATTTGTCTTCCTGTGCCTTTGTCGTTTGTAGCTTTAGGAGTGGAATTACTGCCGAATCTCTCTCTCTGCTTGGACACAGCTGCAGACTGAGTGTTAAGGCCAGAGTTTAACATTAAGACTGAGGCTTACTTGTCTCTTTGCTAGCTGAATCCCTTCTCTTCTTCTCAACTTCCTCATCTGTGCCTCCCAACAAATGTTTTCTATCAGCTTAAATCCTCTCCTAGGAAAAATCAATGAAGATAACCAGACTAGCTGTAGCTTTCAGGAGTTTTGACTTGCAAATGCACGGGGTTGCATTTTCCTACAACTGCTAATGAAATTTGATCCTTCATGTGGATTGCAGACCTAGTCCCCAGAGGGAATTACTTAACTAGAAAATGAGTTACATATGCTGGTGACTTATAACACAATCCAGAGGCCGCAGAGCTGGTAAATTTTTCCAGTTTTCTCATACTTTCCTGCATATCTGGCTTTGTGCGTGGGGATGGTTTGTTACAATAGTCATTATAATGAAGTAAACAGATCTGATGGGGAGCAAAGCCATCATTTACTCTAGATTCCATCTAGACGGGAATGCTGAATTTTTTAAAGCTAAATATTTGGCCCACATCCCTCTATCTGGAAAGCAACAATGTGAAGCATTCTTTCTGAGATAAGAAATAAATAACTCATCCTGTAGTCCTCGGTTGGGTGTGACATTGTCAATGCCTTTCTGTGCATTGCTAGTCATTGCTTAAGATTAGACAAGTTCTTGAGTATTTAGGGGTCATGTTTGATGATGTTGGAGGAATTTTTTAAAATTTGGAAAGCTAGAACCATTTTCTGTGCATGAGCTTTTAGCTCCACTTAAACATTGAAGCCAGTTGGCAAGAGATGTAACCACAAAGCAGTTTCCTAACTTTCAAACTCCCTTTCCTCTCAATTTTTAGTCCTCTCATCCTGACAACTCCCTCTTTTCCCCTTATGGTTTTCATTTAATTTTTTTTTATTTAAATGGGAAGAAGAATTTTAAATGGAAGGAAAAAATGTCAGAAATCCTAAATAGAGAGGAAGGGGCTTTGTTGTGACTCAAAGCACCATTGTAAGTCTCCTCCTCCCAGACCCTGCTAAGGGTAGGACAGCTGATGTCATGCCAGCACACACAATGTACATTCAGTGCAAAAGGCTGGTGCATGTCGAAACTGGCCAAAGGTAGGAAATGACTGGGACTGCAGCAAACAAAAATGCTGATTATGTGTAAGGATCTGATGAGAGACTTTTCCTCATAAATGTCTGATGAGAGATGGGTCAGAACAAGCCTCTCTCTTTATGCCAGGTTGTAGAGGAGAAAACCTCCCCAAATAAAGATACTACTCTATCCCTTTTGGCCCTGGGCCACTTGATTGCTAAAGGTTTATGGAGATGGAAGAGTTCTAAGATTTGCCTGGGCTTCTTTAGGTTTGGTTTTTTTGTGTGTGTGCGCACACCATTTTTTACTTCCTGATTGAATGGCCACTTGTGACTTAATGAACTGCTTAGGGAGTAGAGAGCACAGCCAGCCTTGCTTGGTCTGTAAACTTTCTAAACAAGTGTCATTATCCATGTTGAAAACAGTCTACATTACGTTTTAGAGTTTTGGCTAATATTTCAATAAAACTTAAGAAAAATTTTATCTACTTTAGGTTAAGGAATACCTAATCAATTTGAACCTAGGCTATGGTTATTATGAGCCTAATTTCAGCTTTAACAAGGATAAGGCTTTAATCAGAAAGTTACATATTTGACTCTTTGGAAGGAAACTCTGAGAAATATAGTGAGGACACTAGAAATCCCTCCAGGAGCAAGATTGTACAGGTAAGAATGTATATCTCAGAGCTGACAAACTAGTACTTTAGTGAAATGAGTGACTATATTGAATATAAATTGTGTGACTCTGGTTCCATAATTGAATTTTAGTGAACTGGACTGAATCTCAAATAATTAGATGAGTGTGATCAGGGAGCATATAGACAATGGAAATATGTGGTCTGAAGTCTCATCTTCCTAAGTTTTTGGGTTTTTTTAATCAGTTATTTACAGGAGGTCAAGGTGACTGGCTTTGAGATAGGCATAGTTAGCATAGCACATAGTTCAGATGTAGTTAGGCAAGTTTTCTTAGGTAGGTCTAATTTAGATAACGGAGGAACAGGTGGCTAAGCGTTCTGGTGTCTTTCTTATTTGTATAGACCTCCACCTGACGACACACATATCAGACCTGACCACCTTGCAGGTTGGAATGTAAAACTATCAGTACAGTAAATCATAGAAACAACAGAGAATTACCCAAAACACAGACATGATATTCTAAGAAAGGCCCAAATCTAGTTAGACAGTAACTTTCATTATTTAAAAGATCCTTGTAACCTTAAAAGTTTGAGAGATGGTCATCAAAACTCGTGACCAAGCCAGGCTCGGTGGCTCAGCCTGTAATCCCGCACCTTGGGAGGCTGAGGTGAGTGGATTGCCTGAGTCCGCGGGTTCGAGACCTGCCTGGGCAACTTGGCGAGACCTCGTCTCTACAATAAATCAAAAAATTAGCCAGGTGTGGTAGCGCGCGCCTAGTTCCAGCTACTTGGAAGGCTGAGGCGGAAGGATTGCTGGAGCCCAGCAGGTCGAGGTTGCGGTGGCTGGGAGTGGCCACTGCACTCCAGTCTGGGCGACAGAGTGAGACTAACTCAAAAAAAAAAATAAAAACTCATGACCAGATACCTGCAACCCTCTGCTCTTAGCCTATGGTTTGCTTAATCATTGTTGTAAAATTATTTTTATTAATAATTTTTTGTAGAGATTAGGTCTCACTATATTGCTCAGACTAGTCCCAAACTCCTGGACTCAAGTGATTCACCCGCCTCAGCCTCCCAAAGTACTGGGATTACAGATTTGAGCCACCATTCCCAGCTGACTTTCAGACTCCTTTTGAAGAATGAATCAGTGACTTGGTTCTTAGTTCTATTTGATAATAGGAAGAAAAGAAACTTAAATAAATTACAAATAATGAAAATCAATCAAAGCCTATTCCTTACTTATTCTCTATCTTTGGTGAATAGATAAGCTATTCAGGTCACGTAGTTTAGTTGAATATGATGGTTCTAATTCCCATGAGCGAATGAGTGGTGGATGAATTAATGTAACCTATGGTCATTACTAGGAAAAAGAAATGCCACAGTGACATTTACTCAATGTGATTTAGCATTCTAATTTCATATATGTGTTGATCTGGGTTTTGGGTAGCTGAGTTAACCATTTTGGGTGTCCTTTATGAACAAGATAGCTGGTCAACTAGTTATAATCCACGCTCAGTTATTGTGATGTTAACATTTGAATCCATCATCTTTAGAGACCAGGATGCGATTAGTCAAATATGAGATACCTCCTCCATTCCCAGGAATGACCAAACAATGAAGGGAGCCTTAGTTCTTTCTGTTTGGTTTCTAAGATATTTGGTTCACATGGATCCTTGTAATAGAAGAATAAAGACCAAATATTTTGGCTGGGTGTGGTGGTTCAAGCCTGTAATCCCAGCACTTTGAGAGGCCGAGGCAAGAGGATTACCTGAGCCCAGGGGTTCGAGACCAGCCTGGGCAACTTGGTGAGACCTTGTTTCTACAATAAATCCAAAAACTAGCGGGGTGTGGTAGCGCATGCCTGTAGTTCCAGCTATTTGGAAGACTGAGACAGAAGGATCGCCTGAGCCCAGCAGGTCAAGGCAGCGGTGGCCATGAGCATTCTACTGCACTCCAGTCTGGGCGATAGAATGAGACTCCGACTCAAAAAAAAAAAGAAAAGACCAAATATTTGAATGATATATTTCTATTTTCATAACCTATTTAAATTATTGTCTTTTCTTTGGGTCAAGATTGGACCAATTACATATAAAGAAATAAGGTTGGAATATGAATAGCCTTTGATCCTTTTTTTTTTTTTTAAGTTGGAGTCTCACTCTGTCACCCAGGCCGCGGGGCAGTGGCACGCTCATGGCCACCACAGCATTGACCTGCTGGGCTCAGGTGATCCTTCCACCTCAGCCTTCCAAGTAGTTGAAACCACAGGCATAGAACCACAGGCATGTGTCATCACGCCCATCTAATTTTTCTTGATTTATTGTAGAGAGGAGGTCTCGCCAAATTGCCCAGGCTGGTCTCAAACCCGTGGGCTACCTCAGCCTCCCAAAGTGCTGGGATTATAGGTGTGAGCCACTGCACCCGAATGCCTTGATTGTTTTTTTTGAGTTGAATTCTCACTCCATTGCCCAGACTGGAGTGCAGTAGCACACTCACGGCCACCCCAGCATCAACCTGCTGGTCTCTGGCGATCCTTCTGCCTCAGCCTTCCTAGTAGCCGAAAATACAGGCATGTGCTACCACACCCAGCTAATTTTTAATATATTGGAGAGATGAGGTCTTACCAAGTTGCTGGGGCTGGTCTTGAACCCTCGAGCTCAGGCAATCTACTTGCCTTGGCCTCCGAAAGTGCTGAGCCACTGAGCCCGGCCCTTCTTGATTCTTTAAAAAAAAAAATTATTTTATTTTATTTTATTGAGACTAGTCTTACTATGTTGCCCAGACTGATCTTGAATGCCTAGCCTCAAGCGATCCTCTTACCTCAGCCTCCCAAAGTGCTGGAGTTCTAAGTGTCAGCCACTACACCTGACCTGATTCTTATACGTAGATGCTGATATGATGGCTGC